AAAAGCCTCATTTCTCTGTTTCCTAGGCAGCGGGAACTCTTCTACATCCTCCTGGCATATTCGGAGTATAACCCGGTGAGTATTCCCGGCAGTGACGTTCCCGGGCAGTATTTCCCTGTTCACAGGAGTGGGTGTCTGGTGGGGGTGTCGCTGTTTCTTTTAAAGTTAGTATTTGTGACCCCCGGGGATATAGGAGGTAGGACTCCAGCTCACTGCTGGCATAAACCTCCCAGCAAGGGGGTGATCTCAAGGGGTCAAGCTGAGACACAAAGAAGTCAGGTCTGGACTCCTGGTGTCACCTGGGTCTGACCACCACTTCTCAGAACAAGAAATGACGCCCTCCTCCTGGGGCTGCCCCAAAGCCCAGGAGCTTGGCAGGGTCGCACGCAGGATGGTGCTATCAGGAGACAGTTTGGAGAAGGTGCTGAAGTGCCTGATGGACTTGGCTCTTGTCATGAAATGAATTTGCATCCTGAGGAAGCCTATTCTTCAGAGGAAGACTCCCCAGTCACCTCTGCCCTATCCAATGACATGAGTCCTCCCAGGTGACCTCAGCCTTCCCAGGTGATGTCCTTCCACGGTGACTCTGGCTTTTGCAGGAGGTGGGCTACTGCAGGGACCTGAGCCACATCGCAGCCTTGTTCCTCCTTTATCTGCCTGAGGAGGATGCATTCTGGGCACTGGTGCAGCTGCTGGCCAGGGAGAGGCATTCCCTGCAGGGTAGGTGGACAGCTGCCCCTGGGACGTCATGCAGCCAGACCCTAGGATGGCCACCCTGGCCAGGTAATCTCGGATTTCAGCCAAGGCACCTTCCTTGTGTCGCCAGCTCCTTGGGAGTCTTTAGGATGTCTTTGCTGAGGGTCCCACAGGAGTCTGCGGCTGACCCCCAAAGCCAAAGTTAGATGTCTTTCATCCCCATCTGCAGAGGGCATCTCATCCTCCCCGTGGCCACCCTCTGTGTCCTGCAGCCACGCCCTCCGGCTCTGATTGTGTGCAACTGACTCTCCCCTCCCTGAGAGTCCTCCTCCCCTCCAGCTGCCCGGGCTCCTGCTGCCCTTGGTGCCCACAAATGGGCTGACTAAGCTCAGGTGGCAGCATCTCCCCAACCCGTGTCCCCTGGCCCGACCCCACTTCCAGGAGACAACCAGGAAGCCCAGCACCCACCCTGTTCTGGCCGCCATGTGGTGGCCTCAAAGTCAGGCTTGCCCTTTTTGCACTCTGGTCCAGGAGGCCTCCAGGGGAACCTCCAGCCAGGCTCCAGGGGATGTTCCTGCCCCACGTCCCCAGGGCAAAGGCCACCTGGTAGGGTCACCAGATGGGAGGGTGAAAGGCCTTGAGGTTTGGGGGCGTCTCCAGTTGCCCAGCTCTTCCAGCTGATGGCTCCACATCTTGGGGGAAGGCTCTGATTTC